TTATTTTATAAAAATAAATTAATATAATGTCCCAACTTTATTTAAAATTAATATTTGACACTAAATAATAGAAGACTAAGGGTTATATTTGGCGTCAGAATGCAGTTAATCTATTAAAAAAATTATTGATGATAAATTGAWTTATATTTAATTATGTTTTTGTGTTTAAATTAATATTTTATTCTTTATTTTAGTCCTCGATTTGAACTGCCAGCATATCAACAATATGATGCTAATCAGAAAGATTCAAAAAAACTTGTAGTTATATGTCATTTTTGTGGTGACACTGGACATAAAGCTATGTACTGTCATAAAATGGTATCAGATCTTGTAAAAATCAAACCAGAGCTAGAGGTCAACAATGARCCATTACCAACAAATACTCAAGCAGGATTTGCTAGAAAATTAAAACCATTAGAAGAAGTTACATGTTATAAAGTGATTATGTTTTTATTCATTACCTCAAAAAAATATTATGATCAAAATGTTTAAGAAAATATGTCAATCTGATCTTTGTAAAAAAATCAACTATTTATATTTAGTTTCACATTCAAATACATCCCTTAATATCTATGCAATATTAAATTGCTATAACATTTTGATATACATTTTCTTCGTGTTTTTAAATATATCAATTATGATACACATCAGTAATGACTAATAATTAATAAATAATGTATAGTTAGATAAGGGTTAAGATATAATAAATATTTGATATTCCTTACATATAATACATACTAATCTATATTCAAAAAACTTTAATTTTCATTTATATCTTAAATATTTATTTTTTACTTATTGCATGAAATCTATTAATTAATTAATTTTATATTTAAAAAAAAAAATTGTTTATTCATTAATCTATTCAATTTTAATTTTTTTTTAAGTGCTTAATTTTATAGAATTATTAATGTTATAGGGTGAGGTAATAAACAAAATTTTGCATTTTGTCAGGGATATACAGAAAATGCTGTTTTATCTATTTGATAACAATTATTTATTTATTTTTCAGTGTGGATTTAAAGGTCATTATGCTAACAAGTGCCCAAAAGGGCATTTAGCTTTTTTATCTTTGCAACAAAACCAGGCACTCCAAAACAACCAAGGTGCATGATACAACAAGTGAACCTTAACATTTTAATAAACTAGTAATTATTTGATTATGTATTATTGGTGTATATTTTTGTTCTTTTTAGGAGACTTAAGTTGATTTAAGTATAATTTTAAGAATTAAGATTATTTTTGATCCGTATTATTTATAAAAGAAGATTCTAACACAGAAAGAAAAATATTCTGATGTTTAAAAAAAAAAATATAATATAATGTTAAACCTTTCCTCAATATATGAAAGTTTGATACTTCATGAAATAAAAAGGTGACTGCATAACCCATTAGATTTAAAACTGCTATTTTTATTCCATATTTTCATGCAATCTTTGAAAGCATTATTAATTTCAACCCATATTTATTTTTGTAGTTTTATTCTTTATATAATAATTTCTTTATGTTTACTGACTGAAACAAATAGTAGATGCATACTTTATAAATCCTATGGTATCATAATATAACAATACAATTCTCGAATTTTATTTTTTTTTATTCTATATTTTGATTAATGATTTTAAATCACCAGATCATCTATAAAATCTAAGTCAATATAATCAATTACTATTATAATACAAATCATCATTAAACTCACTTAAAATCAGTTTTAAATAATTCAATTTATCTGATGTAACTTAAAAGCGTGTCATATAATTTTATAATACATACTTGCACCAACATCATAAAAATTAGGTTTTATATTTAAGATACTTTTTTTAATAAATTTATAAAAATATAATTATAGTAAGAATCTAGTTTGTAAATTTACTATTTTAAACATGTGTTTAATGAGAGAAAATATATGCAGATACAATATCCTTTTTAGGTGCCTGCCACACTGTGCATTTTGGCAAGTCCGTTTAAAAAACATTTTTTTTTTAAAATGAGATTTTTTTATTGTAGACACTACACTATACATTTTGGTATGTTTTAACCAAAAAATATTCATTAATAACAAATTTTTGAAAATAAAGTTCTATACATTTTAAATTATTTATGATAAGCCATAKACTGCTGTGCCTCTAGCGCACCGTAGCGAACAGTTTGGGAATAGCTGGCCCATAGGACCAATAACTAACTTTTTTTCTTCATTTTTATAATCGTAATATAAATATCCTATAAATTGTGCTAATTATTGAAATATTTTATTGAATTATTAATGTATAATATTTTACCCATTTTKTTTACATGTTTATTTTTGTGTACAGGGAATCAATAGTTAAAACTAATTTGAATTATTATTTTACATTTACTTACAGCGTTGTAATTATAAAAGATAATTTTAAAATTGTATTTAAATACAGATACCATTACATGTATTCAGAAAGTATTTAAAATGTTTTTAAGAGAAAAAATATTGAAGAGCAAATACCAATACTTGGCATGTATTTAAGCATTTTTAATTTATTTTTCTACTAGTGGGTTAGTTAAATTAATTTTGTAATAACTAATTTTAAATTTTCATKTCATATTTAACTTGGTATTATTAGAATTGTTTGTACCTCATTCTTAATTGTATACTGAAAAATTAAAATAAATAAAACTTGTTATATAATTATCGTAATTCTTTAATATTATCTAATTAAACAGTTTTTAAATAAATACTAAAATAAGA